AATTTGTATTGTTACATAAAGCCTGTAATGGAGAGAAATATAAAAAGAGGAAGTAGTTATTTTAATAACATGTGCTTATCGGTCATGGACCTTCAGTTAATAAGGGAAAGCTTAGTGAAATGATTTAAAGTTGACAGTGGGCAGAGATAACAGTTCGAAGTAAAACAAGAGAAATGTTTTAATTATTTTTCTTTGCACCCTTATATAGTGATATTTAAATCATCACGTAATGCATATAAATATGTGCAAATATATATATATATATATATATAAAGTCTAGCAAGTATTTTAAATATAAAATAGCATTTCTTTACATTTCAGAATATAATTAATTTTTAATTAAAATTAAATAGTATTAGAGTATTTTTTTCAATTTGGCAGTTTTAATTGTATTTAGAAAAAGAATAGCAATTCTCCACTATTTAAAACTAAAAATACTTTGCCAGTATTCTACAAGTAGGTTTTAAGCTTTTGCAGAAAATTGAGATATAAAAATTTTGAAAGTCCCATTTCATGAGATGAACATTTCCAATTTATAAAATAAAAGTTTTTTTTGTTTGTTTTGTTTGTTTATTTACTTGTTTTTGTCCAGTAGGTTACAAATCTCTATTTTTTTTCTGTCGACTCACAATAAGAAATTTTGAATTTAAGTTTCAAGGTACAATTGTTTCTCTTATTCCTTAGCTTTTTTACATATTTACAGCATCACGATTGAGTTCTAACTAAATAGACTACAAAATTTTGGAAAGCACCTTCAGTTTATCAGAAAAAAATAATTATTCTCACTATCATTCTTTTAGTTTAAATAATCAATAACTTAGACTTTTTATGTTTTTATAGAGTGTGGATAATTTATATACGGGGTAGGTTTTAAGAACAACAAAATATTTTAATTATTAAGCATATTTTTGAATGTTTTAGGAACTTGTCAGTATGTCTTGGTATGGTTATTCAACTAAGGTAAATACTTACTTAATTCACTTGTATAACATTTATATGATTATTTACTAGAATGTTCTGCCCTCCAGCATGAAAGTATGTTTGCCAAGATTATTTCATTTTCAGTCTTCAGAAGACTAGTGATAAAAAATTAAATAAGTGACATAACATGGTCTTTGCCTGAACTTGCTTATTTTATGAACTGGAATTAAGAAGATGCTTGCTATCAAACATTAAGTATGGAACATTTTGAACTTCTTGGATAAAATAATTTATATTTGTTCAGCATTATAAATAAATTTTAAAAATTAATTGACCAGCACAAATTTGTTACCAATATCCTTTCCCCCATGGGGTGTAAACTTCTAGTAAAATGAAGCAAATTAACATTTCTCTATAGTTTCTTCTCAGAAATTACTGTGTGTAGGGGTCCAGTAGACCAGTATCTAATATCTAACACAGTAGTTTTTAAGATCTATTTTTAAAAAGTGGTTTTAGGCCCTCCCTGGTGGCGTAGCGGGTTAAAGGGCAGCACAAAGAAGCTTAAACCACTTCTGCATGAGTTTGAGTCCCTGCCTGCCCTGGGGGAGATCCACATGGCGAGGCAGACCTCTCCTGACTCGCCCGCTACTCTCCTCAGCAGTGTACTTCGTCTATCTGCCTGTTCTGTACCCCACTGTCTCTGGTGAATCCTTTTACCCTCCGCATCTCTGGTCTGTACTCCAGTTCTGTACAAATAAATAAATAAATCTTAAAAAAAAAGTGATTTTAATAGATATTTAAAAAACTCCCTGAAATGCTGTATAAGAAAACAATCTATATCATGATAAAACATAGATCTAGGCTAAGTTATGTAAATTTGACCTAGATATTAGAATAATGAATATTAAAATAATTTAGAAGACAGGGGTTCTATGCTGAGAATTTTCTTCTCTGATGGGAAATTCCTTGCTGATTTGGGGAAATGGTGCAATCTCCAAACTCTGTTCTTTTTATATAGAACAATTTTATTCTGAAACTAGTTGGGAACAAAAACACAACAAAGCAAAATAAGCACAGGCTTGAGGGTAATATTCCCCCCCCTTTTCCTCATCAAAGATTAAATCAGCATATCAGCAGTTGAGAATGAAAGAGGGGGATAGGTAGAGGAAGAAAGTGAGAAGATATTGAAGAGAGAGATGACTTGCATTGTGAGTTAAGTCTTTGCTGGACTTTGCAGGTAAAACTCTGGGTACAGTTGGTAAGGAATAGGTCTTACAGAAGGAGTTTATATATGTCTTATGTCCATTACAAATCTATGAGGAAATGGTAGTCTTTTCAGTCAATGAATAAACTAAAGCAAGCCACAGCAGGGAAATAAGGCAGAATTATGTTAGAAAATTGAATTCTAAAGAGTGGATATTGCCCGTTTAATCTGACTTGAGAATTGCCAAGTATGTAAGTAAGTTGATGTAGCTATGTAGAAGGAATTATAGGAATGAGAACAAAGAGACTACAAGAGAATCTGCTTGCTTTGAAAAGAAAAAAAAAAAAATGTCCTAAGCAAGTAAAAGGTTGAGGCAAAGCAAAATCTCTGTTTTGTATGGCCATTAGAGCAAAAAGTGCAAGAATTCATTGGAATGGGATAACCTGTGCATCTTAGGAATTACTTATATGGGAAGTATTACTTTTAGTCAGAAGAAAGTCATTATAAAGCAATGCTGGCTGAATAAGGCAATATAAACTATATTAAAGTACCACACTTAGAAATGCCAATTTTTGATTTATGCCATTCTGATGTTGAGAACTACATTTATGTCTAGGGAGCATGACTGATATTTGGAGTGAATATTGAGAATTATGTCTGCAAAATGAAACTAAAACCAAGTCTATATTTCATTGATACGGAATAGCATGCACACATTGTCTCAAAGAGACATATGTTGCTGCTGTGAAGATACTGACCATTTAACAAATGATTTTTAATTACATGGGCTAGGTGTCCATGGAAAGAAAATACTGGATTCTACCTAATAATTAGTAACATCAATTATCATTAGTGAGATAAAAAAAACTTGGACAATCCAAGTTTCACAAATTCAAATACCCTGGCCACCATTCAATAAATTTGAATGTGGGGGGCAGGTTGAATGTATGACTTTAGTTAGGGAACATTGGTGAATGTCCTCTCCACCCAACGCATCAGCTTCAATTGGACGGAAAGAGCTATCTTGATTGAACAAATGCCTGCAAAGTTACCAGTTTTCAATACCTGGATCTCTCATAAATAAATGTTTTTTTGTTTTTGTTTTTTGTGTTTTTTTTTATGTAATATAAATTGTTTCTTTGTTTTTCATGATCTAGTACTCAATGGTAGCTCTTTTGTGGGAGTAATACAACTCTTCCTAACCTGTCCAGTATTGATATAAAACCACAAGATTTTCAACAAGAATATATGAAGGAGTAAAGGACGATGAAGTCTCTTTTCAGAAAATAGACCTTTAAAAGAAGCAAATTTATAGAGGTCACCATAAAAAACATTCAGTTGCTACTGGTTAGACTGTATGGTAAATGACCTTTTAACTTTCTATTTCCAAAGTGCTTCGTTACCATAGATATTTATAAATTTCATTAAACCTTTTCTCTGCTTTATTTAGAAATACATAGGCCTCCTATTTTAATTGATTTTGTTGCAAAGATCTATCAGGTCCTCAAAGAAAACTGGGTTGGTACTAAAATATTCTGTGTTGAAAATCTGATATTGCACTTTTACAGTTGTGGATTATACAATTTTCTGAATATTAAAGTACATCTCTCTAAAATTTTGGTAGCTTTTAAATTTTTTTATTATTATATCATGCCAAAGAAAAATAAGAGGATTGAAGAATCAGTGTCCTGATTCATTGGCAAGCATTTAGTGGGTACCTCTTTTCTGCCTGATGTGACATGTGCTGTCTTAAACATCTCACTTTCTCATGGATACCACTAAGGAAACTGGTTATCTTCCACATTTCTTCCTTGACACAGTAACCTCTCTGATCATACTAGGTTTTTGGAATTTTATTAAAGATAACATTTGTAATCAATATTAACTATAGAAACTATTACAGAAATTGTTAGTTTACTTATTTTTTTTATTTTTTAATGTTTTTTTTTTAATTTTATAAGCTATTTTTCTTTTTCTTTTTCATTCTAGACAGTTCATAGTTTAAGAAATAATAGGCTATCATCTTCTATTTCCCCAGTGGTGGCATTTAGTTTTGTGGTGTGCTCTGATCATGTTAGTCGCCTTACACTCTTAAAACACACTCTTAAGATACTATTTTTTTTTTTTTAAGATTTATTTATGCTTGCAGAACTGGGATACAGGCAGAAGTGTGGTGGGTGAGAGGATACACCAGAGACAGAGTGGGAAGCAGAACAGGCAGATTGACAAAAGTACACTGCTGAGGGCAGCAGCGGAAGGGTCAGAAGAGGTCTGCCATGCCATGTGGGTCAGCTCCCTGGTGGTGGATCAAAAATGTTCTGCAGTGGCTTCCGAGAGCTTCATAATGCACTGCTTTAACCCGTTGCACCACCAGGGAGAGTCTGGGAGTATACTTTTAAGAAAAAAAAAAAAATAGAGAAAATTTATTGTGTGGGTTTTAAAAAACATTTTAAGAAAAATGAAATTTATAATTATAGTCTACCAAAGCATCTTCCATAGTTCTAGGAAATATTAAAAACATGTTAGATATTCAACATTATTTTAAAATCTTTCAAATTAAAAGGCATCAGTGTTCAAGTCTATGGTGACATTTTTTTTTTTAAGAACAATTGCAAGCAAAGCTTGATTTAGACCAGTATTAGTTACACTTTTTGAACATCAGAATCATAGAGGAGTGTAAGAACATAGATTCCTAAAATCCATCCCCAAAGGTTCTCATTCAGGAGGGTAAAGATAGAGTCTAAAAATTTGTATTTTAAATAACCTCCTGGGTAACATTTATGCTCCTGAACTAGTTACCATATTTTGAGTAGCACTGATTTAGGGATGGTCAAAGAACACAGTATATGCTAACAATTTACATTATGTTTTTCAGAAAAATAACTTCAACTGTTCCAGAAGAACTCAGTGTTCAGAAACCAATGTCAGTTCTGTGCAGATACAAGGTGATGCCGATTATTTCATCAACCATCTTGGAGTCCCTACTATGCAGTTTGCTTATGAGGACATCAGAACACTCAAGGTGATTCTAAAAATTCAAAACACACAGGCACACAGATAAAGAAACATGTATGTACATACAATGCTGCAGACAGGCAAAATTTAATTCAATCTCACTTGTCTTTGTTACAAATAGGTCACTCTATAGAGCAGCTTCATTTAGAGAGTGCTTGTTGTACTAAAGCTTTGTAACAATATTTGAAAACATCAGCTCTTTTCAATAGTGTTGAATTCAATTTAAAAAGATTTATACTGTCACTCACATTTTCACAGTGTGCTTCACAACAAGAAATTTGCAGTAGTTGGATTAACATCAAAACATAATTGTAATCTTCAGTATTCACAGAACAGATGACATGTGCAATAGATTCTCCACTCCTTGCCCAAGGGAAAATGCATTTCACATGCTGTATGTTAATGTGAGTCTTGTGGATCAGCAACCGACATTTGCCAATAGTTTGCCTAGCTAAAATATACTACTTTTTTTTGGTGAAGACCATTGTTCACCTGTCTTTTCCCCCCCCAAACAATATGAGAGGTATGATTCACCCTAATTAAGTATGTGTGATTCTATTATCCATGAGTCTTTAAATCTTAGAATTAAGTCATAGGAAATTATTTCTATGTAGATCTAAACCTGCTGGAATATTTTACCTTCTTTTACAATTTACACATTGATTATTGGAAGCTATGCAAAAGCTTTGTCTGTTAGAGGTAATAATTAAACTAACATAATGGTGGATGGAAAGTAGAGTAGCTTCTACTTTGCTTTTCAAATATAGATATTTGTTCCTGAAAATTATTGTCATCACATAATTTTATTTTATAGGATCAACTTCAGATATTCAATATCTTAATTTCTGATAGACTTTTAGCAGTCAGAAATTAAATTCTAAGTCCTATGCAGCCCTTACCCCAACCTTTTTGGGGTAATAAATACTGCAGTTAATAAATACTGAAAAAACTTAAAGTCATGGAGGGAAAAATTTTGTGAAATCTGTTGAGATGAGTTATTGGGTAATGAAAATGTAATAATGATTTATCTCTTTAAATTTGGATTTCCATATACTGTTGTTATTTAAAATAGGGTATGTCTTTAAAGTATCTTCACTTTCATGCAAGTTCATTATATACACTTCAATGAAATTAATGCATTAGAAAATTAACTTATTTTTAATTTTCCTGCTTGGTATTCTTAAATATCTCTATCACATTTCATCTCTGTCCATTCTGTTCCTATTATGTTAATGAGTTAAATAATAACTTTTCTTGTATAATATAGTCTTTAGAATGAAACTATACTTGACTGCTAACTGCAATAACTTACTAACAAATCATTAACTCTCTATCAGAATCATTTCACAGAAAATAAATCTTGGTATAGTTATGGAATCTACTTCACAGAGTTATGATAAAAATCGAGGAGATACTGTAAAATATTTAATTAAAATCAGCATATAACAAGACTTATCAAACATATGTGTTATCATAATTATTGTTTGATTTTAAGTTTAACATATTAATGGGAGATTTTCTCTATACGTTTAGACAAGAACACATCACTGAAAGGAAGGAATTTGTTAAAAAGAAAAAAAAACTTGAGGCTACAAAGGTAGATTTTGATGAGGATAAACTAAATGATCTGAGTTATCCATAGAAAGATTTGGGAACAGTTTCAAATGAAGTTCTATAAAGGTAGTATTATTAGATGTTACTCTGAATGCTAAGTATGTCTAATACAAGCAGAATAGTCTAAAGGAACTAATCAGTTTTTCAGTAATACTCAGAATATCTGACACCCTTCATCTGTCATTATTTTTTGTTACTTTTGTTTTAAAAAAAGTAATTAAAAGAGAATCCCCTATGCTTTATAACTAATAACACTGTTTATTTTGAATGGGATTTTTTAAAAAACGGATTATTTTGTACAAAATGTGAATGCTTATGAAGCAATTATTTGCATGATGAATTTTCCTAAGAGCAGTGACATTTGCTTGATGCATCCACTTACAATAAATACCTCTATATAGTAATTAGGTGGAATTATAAATATTGAATATTTTATTCATGTAAATATTTTAAATGTTTATAAAGAACATAAGTATTCTTTATTCACAAATATAATATCTCTTCTGTTAATTAATAAGGTAAGTAAGGAAATCAGATCTTTTCATAATAGGAAAAAATAACTGGAAAAATGAGCTAGAGCTACAGATACAGTTTTTATGGATATATGGAACTCTATCATTCTAAATGTTATGTTTTGCTCAAACATGACATTTTAAAATGTCCATGACAAATATTTAATACTATTCATATTCCCACCAGTAACTTTCCAACAGTTTTTCCAGTTGTTAAAATTTTGCATAAGACTGTTTGAAATACCTTTCATCTCTAGTTTTTCATCTTTACATATTTTTTAGCTTTTTCATCTATACTTCAATTTTCTAATAATTAAATCTCACAAATACAAAGCAATCTATGGGTTTACTAAATGATTCCTTCTCATAAGTTATTGCCCTGTTAATTGAAACATCTCTAGTTATAATCATCATTTAAATAAAGTTTTCAATTTGTAAACATTGTTGCACCTGTTAGGAGAAGCATTCTGCTCAGATTAAATACAATGCTGAGATTGCTGAAAGGAAATGAAAAGACAGATGCTTTCTGATTAAGAATGCAATATTTATGACAGGCTGGTGGTCCAATGAACATTCATTCTGTCACTTAACAGCTGTTTCACATAATTTTTGTTACAGATCACTGTATTTACTCACTATAGGGCATGTCACAGGGACTGCCTTTCTAAGTATACCAAAAGATCTATCCATGCCCTGCAAGCTTTATACCACAAATTTAAGCGCTTGTTCCTCACTGTGCTTAACCTTACATTTTTTGCTCCTCTGCTTGGAATATTCCATTTTAAACCCAATTTACCTCTATAATGGAGCATTTAACATTTAAATCATAATGAGATAAGGGGGCTTGCCAGCTTTCACATAGCAGGGTGTTTTTGCATAATTGTTTAATACCATTTAGCAGCTTCATGGCAGAAAATCAAGTTTTGAAACTTTCATTAATTGTAAATTAGATGATTTTGATATAAATTCTGATACTTAAACGGGTATAGAACAATCTGTGGTGTGTGTGTGTGTGTATGCATATAAACCAAAAAATGATCATTTGTGCATATACAATGCTAAAATGCACATATATATGTTTTGGAGCAATGTAACATAGTTTAGATGTTGATTAATCGTATTTTATTTTAATGAATAGGAGAAGCATTTTTTGCTTAAATTAGAGATTATGCTTTTATTGAATTTTCTGTTTGGAGCTTAATTCCTGTCATTGTTATATTAACAGTTAATTAAAAGATACTAACTTAAGAAACATAATATGTAAATGCATAAATTATACACATGTACAGTATCTGGTAGAATCTGATTCACTCTGATAGCTACAAATGGCATTATGTAATACATAAAGTTTCTATTTTAAACTATGCTAATTAAAAACAAGACAGAAAGAGGTTCTTTGGCTCACCACTTCTTCGTATATTACATTAGTAAAAGTACTTACAAAATTCTTCAAAACATATAATTTTCAGATCAGATTTCCTCCATTTAGGGCAGAGATATTAAATCATTTGTAATAAAAGCCCACTTACCTTTTACAAATATGAAAGACTCCAAAGAAAAGTGGTTTTGCTTTGTTTTTCTGGGTAATATATATAAATACTTACCATATAGGAATTAAACCAGAAATATAGGGTTATTTCTTCATTTAAGAAATAAAAAATAGACTTATAATTAATCTAATTTATGCTCAAGACAGATAATTATATTTCCCAAGATGAGAGATTATAAACTAGATGAGTAGCATTCCTAAATATTTTTATGAATTTCTTTAATGTGGCTTAACATCAGATAATTAGTCTCAAATGTGTTTCAATATTTAATCTGCTGTTACATGTTTTTTTATTTCCTTAAGTAAAAAAAAAAAGTATAAGAATTTCCATAAAATGACAAATACTTTTCTTGCATACTATGAACCTTGACAAGAAATAATTTCAATGTGTAACCAGGTAACCATCTTAATGAACATAATGAACATTTGCATCCAGTACACACTGAACTTACATAAAAGATGAGAGCACAATAATGCATAAAGTTCCTCTTTATGAAAATCTCATCATGAAAACACTTCTGAAGTTCTCTGGATCATATTTGGAAAAAAATGTTCATTTGACGAATTTGGTTAAAATAGTCTCCTCCATTCTTCACAACATCTGACAAGGTATCCAACATTGTGCCTTTTAAAAGATTTGAACTGTGACTTTATATAAACCTATGTATATCTTTTCTGGTCATCCTTGGGTTCTGCCATCCCATTCACCTGACAAACAGCCTGAAGTGGAAAATATAACACTCTCATAAACTGTGACTCTACAAAGAAGTCTGCCTCTTAGAAGCCTTCCTTTAGAAGAGAAGGTTAAACCCCAATCAACAAATCAACAGTTATAGAGCAGACTTGAAAAGCTTTGATTGTACAGTATATGAAATGCCTGTCACAGAGGGAGTGCTATTAAAGTTGCTGTACGCTTCCAAAAGCCTGAGGAGTAAACACAAGAAATTGAAATATGAGACAGATATTGAAAAAACAAAGAGTAGAGAAACTCTTAAGACTCAAATGGATAATTCAAAAGATCATACTTCAAATTGCCTAATATTTTGAAATGACTGCAAGGAGGACAAATTTCCCCTAGCAACTGTCCTGCTTCGAATGTTAAATAAGAACATTTATTCTGAATGCCTGTCACTGGATCACGCTATATAGTACATGCACTATATTTTAACTTTAATGCAGTTTCAGGGATTATGTTGTGATTTTCCTAACTATGAGGGAAATTGTTTCATAATGAAGTTTTTGATAATTTCAATAATAAAACTTACAGGTAGATTCAATGATAAACCATGTTGTCAATTTGACAACACTTAAACTACGATTATAGGGGAACTC